CCTTATTATTTAATGTTTAATCTTGGGTACCTCTAGATTAGCTTGGCACCCCTCATAACTCCAAATAGTTTGTAATTGTTTCAGAATCAGAGAGTCAGAAAGCCTCTTCCTTAAAACGAGTTCCTGTTGCTGGTTGTTGTCGCAAGTGGACAGCACAATGAACTGCGACAGCATTAATTAATATGAATTTCAGCAGTATATGTAACAGACATACGTGTGTGTGGTTTTTTTTATTTTTATTTATATACTGCTCAGCTGATCATTCACTGGGTGCTTCACTGGCCGGCTGCTTGTATGTTAGACCCGGTAAAATTAAAGGTAAAATTGCGAGTCCCTGTACATTACCAGATATGCAATAACCTCAAACCCTGTATTTTTTTCCACATCCTCTGGTCACAGTGCAGCAGCAGGAGATAAAATATATCCACAAAACCAGACACAGTCGAAAAATTTCGCTTTCACGCTGGCACTGATGGATGTCTTTTTTTTTTTTTTCCCCCACATAAGCTTTATTGAAAACGTACATATCAAACAAGTCAATATAATATTTTGCCAATATGGTAGAGGCACCGGTGGATATCAGGCAAGATCACATGAATGCATAATGGCCTGAAGATTATGCCAATTCAAGGAATTCCTTGTGAGACGTGTATAAACCCAGTTGCTTCTGGATAAAAATACTAGAACATACGAACACCTCATTTTTTGAGCTTTCGGTCATGTATAAGATGAGAATTAACCGTTTTAACATTGTAGATGAGTCAAAAAACAAGAAAAAGGATGCCATGGGCTCTTTAAACATTTCTTACCACTGGGTCTCATTTACCAACCGTTCTTAAGAACAAATTTGTTTGTAAACCCCTCCACTCCTCTACTGGTCAGAGTCTCTCCTCTGTGTTTGTTTTGTTGCCTCAGATTTTAGCTTTTAGCTCAAGCCATCTTTTTACTTCATCAGCTGTGCACCCTTCTCCTTATACAGCATTCACTCAATGAGCAAGAGCATCCCATGCATTTTTTTTGTTTTGCCTCCACTACTGATGCTACTAAATATGACAGCTCATTCATTTTTCTCCACTTCATAACTACTCAGGTTTTTCTTTGATTTGGAGGTCATTGCTCCACTGTCTTTAGATTTTCCTTGTAGCATTCCTGGCCTTCTCAGCTTCTTTTTAGTTTCTGTGTGAGTCCTGTATGCACACGGTCCTGCAGTCTGATGCCCTTTTATTGGCATTAGCAAGGTGTTAACCTCTGGTAATTAGGAATGACTGGCAAGTACTTTCAGCTTACGAACACATGGGATTCATCAATACAGGTGTGAACAATTCTGTGTTTTAAGAACATGTTCATGAAGCACACAGACTTTTCTTAGGACCTTTCTTAAGAACAACCTATGAAGAAATTTTGTAAGATGTTTAGGAAGATAATGGACCACATTAACCAATGTCATTTGCGGGGTACGAGTTTGGAGTTTGTTTATCCATGTGGTAACTGTTTGTTTGTTTATTTATTAGGGTGTGAGTTTTTTAAGGACTACAAAGACAGAGACTACACAGCAGAGGGCCTGGTGTTCAACTGGAATCAGGTAATGAGTCTCTACAGTCTGAAAGTATACAGTAGCTTGGCTCTGTTGTATTAATCTGTTACGATGTCTCCTCTGACAGGACTATGTAGATGCTCCTTTGACAATCCCGGTGTGCTTTACTCAGAACTTGAACATTGACTGGACTCATTACCAGGTTACCTCTTCTTTTCTGCTATGTTTTTAACATCTTCATCACTTGTACCCAGCTGTACACACATTGTTAGCAGTGACTCAGTTTTTCTTTGTAATATTTGTGGTGTGTCAGTGCCATCTGTTGTTTGATCTGCAGAGTGCTTTGGTCATGATTCCTAACCACTTGTGTAGGGTTAAAACCCCACTGTTAGATGTTTTAATGTGTCCATTGTACATGCAGCTTATTCACTCTTATATATATTAAATACGTGTGTGTGTGTGTGTGTGTGTCTTGATCAGTCGTGGGACCTGGTAGAGCAGACCCAGAACTACCTGAAGCTGCTGCTCCACATCATCAACAGTGATGGTAGGTGGGGGTTGTATTTTGGCGAGTAGGATCTGACAAGATGTTGAGACTTAATGTGTAGGATTGTGACTTGACCTGGGGCTAAAAATAGAACATGGAAAAGGGCTGCAATTAATGACTGATTTATTTCTTCTTAGTTTTACTAATTATATGTGTAGATGATAAAGTTACAATAATGATGAGGTCTGTTTTTTAGTAATCTGAAATTAAAGTAAGGCCTTAAATACTTCCTGAGTTTATGAATGATCAAAACTGAAGGCCATTCATTCATTTTACAGTGGCAAATTTTAGGAGCCTCAGTTTTCTATCGATCTCACTGTATTGATTGAGAATATTGATTACCTCAGTATATGTACTATACAAATGCACAGAATCAATTTAGTCAGTTGGCAAAAAGAGAATGATTGATTAATTACTTGGATCATTTTTCAAGCAAAGATTCACTAAAACATTCTCTGGATCCAGCTTCTCCATGTGATAGGCTTCCTTTCTTTGTTTTATTTGTTAGTAAATTAAATATTTTTAGTAGTGGAATGTTTGTCAGAAATAACCAGTAATTTGAAAATGTTGCCGTGGATTCTGGGAAATTATGATGACTGTGTTTAGTTATTTTGTAACCTTTTATTATCAAAATTATTATTCAATCAAGAAAATAGTCAGATTAGTCCAATATGAATGTGTGGTGCTTGTTTCTTTAAATTCACCAGATTCAGATGTTTGTATAATGCTATGGCCCAAAGCGACAGCTATGCTAATACCCCCCAGGAGAGTTTACATATTGCAGAATAAATTACTGACTGCTACTCAGAAATTCTGTGACACATGACTAGAGTGCATAAATGAGTGCGCATGTTACATACAGTATACCATATAACGCCTGATCAAAATATAACTGTAATTTAATTCTGTTAAATTAGAAATGTTAAAATCTAAAATATTTGCAGTACTTTTATTTAACCAGGGTCATCTTCTACTTTTGGCTGTTCCCGTTAGGTGTCGCCACAGCGAATCATCAGTTGCCAGTTCGCATGTTAAACTTCGCACGTTTTTAACACCGGATGCCCTTCCGAATAATGTCTAATTTTAGAGTCACCAATCAACCTAAGCTGCATGTCTTTGGACTGTGGAATGAAACCAGAGCACCTGGAGAAAACCCACGCAGGCACAGGGAGAACATGCAAACTCCACACATTTATTTAACCAGGATAGTGGTTTTGAAATTCGATTTTCTCTTTTGAAGCCATCTTGGCCAAAATGGCAATATAATCAATGTAACACAAAGCAACTCACCACCAGCATTTACATAGGGAAGGATAAATATTATAAAGAATGATGAAAACATGGGACTGTTTGTTTGCTTGTTTATATGGCACAATGCCCAGTAATCAACACTGATGTTAACACCAGTGTAAATGTACTGAGCTTTGTTCCACAGCTAATTTGTACCTGTAGTTCTGACCTAATTAAAAACGACAAGTAATATTAATCATTTACATATAACAATACTATCAAAAAGACCTTAAACATTACAAAGAAGCTCATCAATATATTGGATCACATGAGTACATGTCTAAGTAGATTTTAATCAGATTTTAATATATTTTAGTTTTAAAGCGCTTTACAATGTGCAGCTCCTTATTTCCATCGGTGTAGTATTCCAGAGTTGTTGCTTTCACAGAAAGGGACGATTGTCCAATTTTGTTGCATGTAAATGGAACAATACTGTCTCCAATGGAAACTGTACCTGTCATTTTAACTGAATGAAGGTTATAGTTGAGTCATGTTTTATTTACCACTGCTACACTAAATAGTATGTATAAATATGTATGTTGTATACAGTCTTAATGCCACTGTCTTGCCACTTTCATCATTCAGTGTTTTTATTTATTTATTTTTGTTCAACATTTTACAAATAGAAATTCCATTTGTCACATCCATATTACACAAAACTTCTCTGTTATGAATTATTCTTTTTATGCATAATACATCAGTGATACCAGAAAGTGTCGCTGTTGCTCTTAAAGGTGATTTTATGTGTTGTTCCAGATGAGAGCGGTCTCCTGGTGCACTGCATATCAGGCTGGGACCGGACACCTCTTTTTGTGTCCCTCCTCAGGCTTTCTCTTTGGGCAGTAAGTCCTTACTTCTGTCTTTGCATTTCAAAAACAAAAAAAACTCCTTTCTTCTCCCCTGGCACCCCCCACCCCCCAGCAGTGACTTCAGTAATACCACAATGAATCCATCTGCCTCAGTCCCCGATGCCCCTGCTTATTCATAGCTCTCGTAAAACTAATCTACCATTCTACACATGCACTTTAATTGGTCTCTTCTGTGTTCACCACCTGTCCTAAAAATAGAACTATTATGTCATAAACTTGCAGTCTTTTCTGAAGACAGTTCTTACTGGAAGCTTTTCTTGAAACCATTAAGTTCTCATTTGAAGTGCTTTTGAAACAGAATAAGAAATCCAATTTTGTGGTGCACAGGTGCATCCTGTAGATGATTTGTCTGCAGGATTTTTTATTTTTTTTAACACAGGGTGTTTGTGATGTTTGACTTGCTTTTGTCATTTGTTTTTCACAGGATGGCGTGGTGCATGTCAACCTGGAGCCGGCTGAGATCCTGTATCTGACCATCGCTTATGACTGGTTCCTCTTCGGGTAAAAAATAATAATTTACATCATCACTATCATAATTTTATGATTTCGCTCACAGCACGTTAGCTGGCATAAATACTTTGGAGGTGCATTTCCAGCTTTTCTGTGCCGTTCTGTGCGATGCTTGTCTGTGACGCATAATTGAAAAGTGACTTGTTAATGAAGCTCTGGGAGCAATGGGGAAGAGAGGCCAGGACAACAGGAGGCAAAGTAGTTGACCGCGTCTTTATCCTCCCACTTAGAACATTTTTTTTCTCTCTTACACACACATATTCCAACACCCACTCCCTTTCGCTCCCTCTCCCTCTCAGGGTTCTCCTTTTGTAATTACCAGCACGATCTCTCCAATTTGAGCACATCAGGGGCAGTCACAGACAAAGCCCTTTCACTGCCGTACATCAGCAGGCTTGCTCAAGCCCTCGGGACGCTGGCCACGTAGACAAAGTGTTTTGTGTGTGTGTGTGTGTGTGTGTGTGTGTGTGTGTGTGTGTATGTGTATGTGAACAGAGGGAGTGTAGCTGCTGCATTTCACATCATCACTCTCAACTGAATCACATTTGAACTCCCAAGTTATTTGTGAAGCAATGATTTCTCTTCTCTTTTATGCTCATAAACACCGTCAGTAGCACCCAAACAGGTGTAATCGCTACAAAATATCACTCTCTCAAGAGACTATTAGATTTTGCAGCAGTGCTTGTCTATTTGCTGAACAGTTAATTTTGAATTAGCATTGATATGATTAAGAGGAAAAAACCTTTTACAATATGCATATTGTGAAGTTAGAAGAAGAGTTAAAGGACCGTTTCTTCCTAATTACAAAACTAGCCCTAGTTTTTGTTAGTCATTTTTTAACGAACAACATAGGATTTGAATGGTTTTTGATATAAATAGGTGGCAGCTGACATCTAATCTAGTACATTTTCCTGTGTCTGTTTCCAGTCACATGCTGCCAGATCGACTCTCGAAAGGGGAGGAGGTAAGTTTATCTCCAAATTAAATTTATTTTATTGATGATAATTTGTGAAAGGAGACTGTCAGGAGCGTAATATCACTTATGGTCAGTCATTATCCCAAGCAACTTATAAATAGTCAAAGGTGGCAGAAATGAAATGTTCTGAAAGGCTTTAATGAAAATATTTTTACAAAAGGCAAAAGCTTGTTCGGTCTCAGTTTGAAATTTCAAACTAAATAAAGTCAAGGTTGTGTGTGAATCGTGTCAAAAGAAATGATGGCAGTCATTTGGAATCATATCAGTCCTTGAGAATCTGAGTACTTTTTTATTAAATATCTATTTTAAACTAATAGTTTAACCTTTTTAGTAACCTCATTGAACAAACTACTGTTTCGTGTGAAGGACAATAAATTTTAAGAGGCCTGGGCTGTGGGCTTGAGCTAAAATACTTTGATTCATGTTTCATTGCTGTTTTTCTTTCTGTAACCAAAAATGTCTTTATTCCCCTCAGATTTTCTTTTTTTGCTTCAATTTTTTGAAGCACATCATCTCAGAGAAGTTCTCTGTGGTTAAGAAACAGAGGTGTGTTCATCCATCGGTTTGCTTTTAATGTTTCATTTACCTGTAGTTGTCTGTTGCCAAGTATTTTTTACGGTTACAGTATAATTCACATACAGTGGCATCAGATAGTGTTCGAACCCTTCACTTTTTGGCACATTTAATTGCATTGTGTGTTTAAGTTGAAGCTGATCAAATTGGCATACACTTGGTTACCCATAATGACACTGTTAAAACATGTTTTTGAAATTTGTGCATATTCTTTGAAAATCAAAAACTGTATAAAAGTATTCCGACTCTGGTGTAACAGTCTAGATTGTGGTCCAGTTTTTTCTACTCACTTTAATTCTCCTTGAGATGTGTCTAGAACTTGGCTGGAATCCACCTGTGGCAAACTCAGTTGACCGAAAAACAGTTTAGAGAGGCAACACCTGTTTTATTAGGGTCCCACAGTTCACATTGCATCAGGACAAAGACCAAGCCATGAAGTCTAAGGAACTCTTTATAGGCCTCTGTGATAAAACCTGAACACAAAATAGGACAACCAGGGCCCATATTTATCAAGTATCTTAGAGTAGGAAATCATTCCTAACTGTCCAAAAATTCTCCATATTACACATTTTTGGTCCTACTTTTAGGAATAAAAGTAAGAGCAACATATTAACGTTTCTAGCTTAGGAAACCACTCCAGTCGCCACCAAAATGTAGGAGAGTTCCAGAGGTGTCTCAGATGGTTAGGAGCTCCTAGAAGGTGGCGTTCAGACAGAGATGAGCCCACAGACTCAGCAGAAGGAGACATGTTTTTTTTTTTACACTTAATGACGCTCAGCTTGTTAAAATATACAGTTTGGCCATAAATGGAATCATTTTTGTAACTGAGTTTGTGCAGGATTCAGTTGCTCCAACAAAAGCAAGAACACAACGTCTCCACTGAAACTGCAGTCGTTGCATCTTTAGGCTACACTTTTTATTAACAAAGCGGGGGCAGCAACAGTGATGATTTGAGTCGGTCAAAACTGAAAGGAGACCACGATGGCTCTGACATCATTTCACCACCGCTCAGTGTTGATCAGTGAAAAACCAGCTACAAATACGCAAATCCTTTTCTCTGACAATTTGGAGTCACTGATGGCGCACACATTAAAGCCATGCTCAGTTGCACACGCATAACTGCACATGCATAGTTGCACACCCACTGCTGACTATCGCACATACAGCCTCGATGTAGCATACACTGTCTTTTACTGTGTTCTCATTGCTGCTGACTATTGCACATACAGCTCCGATGCAGGTGTTTTCATTATATTTTTATATACTTATTATATTTCTTTTCACTCACTGCTTAATGTGCCTTTAGACTCTGTGCTACTGTTTATCTGCTTTATATTTCACTTGTGTTGTTTGGCATGCAGGGTGGATGACAAAGTAATTATTTCATTGTGCAGGGAAATGCGTTTCCATACTGTGCATATGACAATAAACACTTGGATTCTCTGAAATGCGATCTTACAGGGCTGAGAAAATTTCATCATTATGAGTGGCTTTCCAGTAAACCAGCCTATAAAGTACGTTGCTAAAGTGTTTTGTTGTGTTACTATCTCATTGCCCATACACATAATGCCTTCACTTGATAAGTGGATGTTGCCATTTCAACTTTCCCACTGTCTAAAACTGCAAGCTTCCACTGTCAGAAAACTACAACAGGTCACTATAATGTCAGCGTTGTGGCTTTGACTGTTGTAAAACAGTGACATCACACAGTATGATTTCTCCTCGCTCAAAATGAGAGTAGGACGCTTCATTAATATCTTTTAAGTCTGCCTCTGAGGTAGGACTTTTTTTTTTTTTTAAAGTCTAACCTTTTTTTAAGATAACTTTCAGTGCTATTCCTAGGAGTAATTCTGAGAGGCTTGATAAATATGGGCCCAGGACACTTCCTAGACTTTATCGTCCAAACTGTCTGAGTAATTGGGTAAGAAGGGCCTTGGTAGTGAGGTGACCAAGAACCCAATGGTCACTCTACCAGAACCTCAGAAGTTCTCTGCAGAGATGGAGAACCTGCTGAAAAAAGACAAACTGTATGACAAACGGCATTTAGAGGACTCTGAGAGCATGAGGGAAATGAAGGTGTTCTGATGAGACAAAACTGAATTCCAAGCACTGTCTGGTGAGAACCACTACTCAAAACTAGTTAATACTATTTCTACCATACATACTGAGTGAAATTAATTGTACTGTACATATAGGGTGATAATTGTTTTAGCCTTTGTAGTAACATCACTGAACAAACTACTGTTTCATGTGAAGCACGGTATAAATTAAGAGACCTGCTGGACTGTTGGTTTCACCATACAGTGAAGCATAGTGGTGGCAGCCTATGGGGGCTTCTCAGCAGCAGAAATGGGCAGACTGGTCAGACCTGAGGGAAGGATGAATGCAGCCACATACAGAGTGGTCCTGTCAAATTCTAGGCACATCTCAATCTCTGCAAAGGGTCTGAACAGAAAGATTACATTTGATGATTATTGATACATTTCAGCAAAATTCTAAAAACGTTTTCACTTTGCTATTAGCGGGTGAGTGTATATTAATAGGCAAAAATAGCAAAGTGTGCAGAAAGTGAAGGGTTCTGAATACTCTGTGAAGCCACCTTTTGTCTCATTCAATGAATCAGCTGCTGTTTGCAAATTTAAGCGGATTGTAGCCAGTATTCTCTTTTTATTTTTGATCTGTTAGATGTTATTTAAGCACAACTTTTATTCCCTGCCTGCAGAAGGAAAAACTCTCACTTCAAAGACTGTGATTTTCCTGTGGAAGACCTCTGCCTGTTGAGTAAGTCAATGTTTCTCATATGTACCACCATCCATATAGGGTACAATGAGTGTAGCATGTTAATACTATACTTAGAGTAGTGCTAGTAGTATTGTAATGTCAGCTGCCTCCTGGTGTCACTGTAAAGAGAACTACATTTCTAGCATCATCAGTTAGTAACAAGCAGCTAAAATTACAATTTAATGTAAGAATAAAAGGAAATGGATTGGCTAGAGAATGAATCTTGGTCTGGTTAGGGAAACCACTGACTTTTTTGAGTGTACTTTATTAGAACGGGTGATTATACAGTGCGAAACTGATTAATATTGAGTGATTATTTGGTTTAAAAAAATCCAGCTGCTAGTGTAAACACATTTAGCTCAGTCCAAATTGGTAAAGGATCTTTAAAAGCTAATTTGGTGATATGCTCACTGGGAGCTCTTGACACTTGCCTCTGGGCTGATGCAATGAGGAATAACAAATTTTCAGAGTGCTGTATGCTCAGTGTTGGGGCAGAGACAGAGACTCTGGGTGATAACTCAGCCTTTCATCTCTTTAGAAAATTGCTAGACTTTGAGCCAAAACATCTTTTGTTACCAACCATAGTTTGTAGGCAACAACAATAAATGGATTTTTACAAATTCTGTTATGAACTGTTCATGCTTTAATGATGGTGTATTTATAGTTCTAGCATATAATTGCCAGAATAGTCCAAAAAAAGAGTGTTTGATGGAAGTTTGTAGTTAAAATCATTTTATAAATGTTGAGTTTAATTATATAATTTTGCATCACATACAGTAACTTTAATTCAGATTAAAGTAAAGTAGTACTAAGTATAATTATTAAGCCTAACAGGGCTCTACTGTTTGACTGTGTGCAGACCTGAGGGATCGTGGCAGCGTGACCAGTCTGAGCAGCGAGTTTTCCCTTATCACTGAGGAGGTGGGCGGCGCCACCAGCCTCTCTGACACTGTGGACCTGTTGTCCAGCCAACCCCAGGCCTCCAGCTGGTCATTATCACAGACAGAAACACACAGACACTCAAATCATGGATTCATTTTATATATGAGCACTGCTTTGGGTAAAAGATACCAGGACAGTGACAGCTGCCAGATGCCAACACACTGCACAATGGTTCATAACACTATGAGAAAGGATTTTAAAACATGGAGATCTAGAACATCTCACACCATGAGCAGGCTCATACAGGGAAACCTATGTGAGTAGCTCATTACCCCCTGGTGATGGATTGCGCCTGCCCTTCTTTTTGTGGTGATCCACTGATTCCTGTTGTTAGGGTGAATCAGCACAATTGTTGTGTATTGGATGCTTCGTGATAAGTGCTTAATTCTTTGTGTTTAATCCTTGCCAGTCCAGCCACATAAGGGAGGTTCCCTGGGATACTCCAGGTACATATTGGGTACATCTCATGTCTCTTATAAGATTGTCCTCAGTTACCAGAATGACTTCCGGGTCAGCTGGATCATGTAGGACTTTAAGTCTCTTATATTGGCTCTGAGGACCAAGGAAGGTGCTTGAGGAGCCATGGTTGAGGATACACGAGACTGCCCTTCGAAGAGGGTTTTGTCAACTGGCACACCCCTTTAGCAAAAACCTGTTAGATGCTTCAGATGAAGTAGCTAAGAAAAGGGCGTCTTATGTCATTAATAATGTTTCTTGAGTCTTCTCTCCTTGACGATTTCCTTGCATTTTCTTCTTCACATCTTATGTAGGTGGGGCTAAGACAGAAAAGATGCAAGACAGTGCTTATATGAAACTTGGGATGTACCCTTTGGGTTAGCAGTGTCCTTTCTGTTGCATTGGCTTGTTGTTGGATAACACTTTACTGAAAATTAGTCAGGTTCAACTTTTTCACTGGGCTGCCCTGTGTTTTTTTTTTTTTTTTTTTTTTTTTTTTTTTTTTTTTTTTTATCCTTTTCTTTTTCTCTTTTTCCTGTGGACTTATTAAAATGAATGGGGAGTTTGCATTTTTAAAGGCAATGCTGATGTCAGACTGACATGGACCAAGACCAAAAACTGTAGTCAGTGGTCAGATGTAACATTAATTGATGTGGATGATCAAAGTAAATCAAAATAGACTTCAGTCAGAAGAGTTGCCTAATGTTCTTTCTTTTATTTCATCATCATCAAACAATGAAAACATCAGTCATATGTTGCAGACTTGGCCTCATCCTTAGATAATTTTGCCTCCTCTGTCCACAGGAGGAAAGGCACCACTTCCTCCCCTCCAATGGTTGTTTGGAATAAGCAGAACCTTCTGGACGACCACATCTCCCATCCACTCAATGAGGCTAGATCTTCCAGCTCCTCCTCCTCTAACCAATCAGAGCATGCTGTTATACGCACTGGCAGCAGCCCATTGGCTGTCCCCGGGAGGGGGTGAGTGAGTTGATGTAACTGCTTTAGCGTGACATCTCATATTTATACATGTGTTTAAGTTGTGCTATGTATATTTTGGATGATCACAGGAGGCACAGGGCTCTAACTCTGGAGCTGCTTCATTTTGCTTGGAAGCATGTCGAATGTGCACCAGCATAGCCTGTGGACTGTAGCTCATGCATGTGTTGTGGGATTGTGTTCTCTGGTGTTCGGCACTGACATATGCAACATTTCATAATACAGTTATTTTTCCATCTTACTGTTATTTGCATACAATATATAAACTCAGTTGGCAGTTTATTAGCCACACCAAGCTAAAATTAATTAAGTCTAATCCCTTATTGCTGCAGTAAATCCCAGAGGTGGTAGTGTTTAGGGCTGCATGATAAATCATTTTGTGAGTGTGATCCCTGTGTGATCTCAGTCTTGTGACAATGATTCTGTCGTGTTTGCTTTAGCAGGGAGATGCCTTGCAACAAATTAAGCACTTCCTTATCCTCGCTAAGGTGATATGAAGCAAAATTAAACTTCTAAGAAGGACCATAATAAAATTTAGCTTCATTTCACTGCTTCACAATCTGTGTTGTCAATTTCCCCAGTGTTCAAGATGTTTGTATACATGGGTCAGAGTTTCCATACAGCTATTCACATTCTCATGTCAGCTTGTTTTTATAAATCCAGACTTTTCTATGGTCTTGTGGTCTTCATATTACATACCAGATCATTATCCAGACAACATGCCCTGATGTAGCTTGCGCAGTAAGATAAATGATGGATATATACATAGATTACTCCAGCACACCGAGTTGGTCTTACATATCCTTGCCTCTGTTGTCTCTCTCACTCAGGTTAGCTGCAGACTACACTCGGTCAGGTTCCTCACTCTCCACAGAATATGGGAGTTGGCAGATAGTTTCTGGTTGTGGTAGCATCCATGACCACTCTCCCTTCCCTCCACCTATGGCCTCAGCTTCCTCCACCTCATTTGCTGTCGCTTCTGCCTATGACTCCCCCCTGCCCTTTAGTTTTCAGGATGAAGGACCCAATGGACGAATGTAAGTAACAGTGTAAGACTGCTGTGTCAGTAGGTTAAATGAATTGTCAACGGTTCTTGGATTTATTAGATTCTTAGATTTATTTTGTAATCACTCACTACTAATTTGTGGTAGAAAGTTAGAGCAGTGCTATCTTTCTTATTTAACACCTAACTCTGAATGACAAATAACCATCTTTTTAACAAACACGAAGCAGCAATGTTACATTTTCCATGTCTGTAAAGGGTTTAGGATTGTTATCATGTTGGCATGCAGCCATTAGCACTTAGCTCAAAGTATCTAATGTAACGGTTACATTGAATGACCGTACTAGGGCTCCCAAGGAACAGACATTCTGTTTTGCTATCATTGATATGTAAAAAATGTCAGGACAACCAAGTTTTAATATCACAAAGACAGTTGAGCTGGGAGTTACTTTTAGTAATTGGTAATTATATCTGAATGTCATTTGCAAAACAGTGAAAAGACAGCACACATTTCCTTAAAATAGAGCCAAGTGGAAGGAAATATAATGAAAACGAAGTTGGTCCAAGAATGGAACCCTGAGGGGCCCCACAAGTTATTGGAGTGATAGAGGATGAGTATTCATCAGTGTGAACAGAAAAACTTCGGTTTGATAGATATGATTCAGACCATTTCAAACCTGTACCTCCAAAACCCACATGCATCTCTAGACTAGAAAGCAAAATGCTATTATTCAGTGTCAAATGCAGCTGACAGATCTAGCAACACTTGCAAGGAGGTATGACAATCATCTGACAACAAATCATCAAATGACTGGAGACTCTCAATTAGGGCACACTCGGTATTATGACGAGATTTAAAGCCAGATTGGAAAATTTTCAAAGGTTTCATCTTTGTCAAGTAAAGACTGTACTTGCATGAGCACAGTCTTCTCTAAAACCTTTGATAAAAATGGCAACTTGGAAATGCATTTAAAATTTGATAGAACACGTGTCGTGGTTGGATTTCTTTAAAATAGGATGAATTACTGCATGTTTTAGTGAAGCAGGAACAAACCTTGGGGAAAGACAACCATTTATGAGGCAAAGAATAGTAGGGGCAATCGGATGAAAAAACCTTCGTAAAGAGCCCTTGACATGCTCATTTTGCTCATTTCCAGCCATTTAATGTTTAATCTTTGGGTACATCTCGGTTGGCTTTGCACCCCTCATAACTCCAAATAGTCTAATTATTTCAGAATGATAAAACCAGAGAGCCTCTTCCTAAAAATGAGAGGATAGTTCATGAACGTGCACAACTGCTGTTGCTGGTGTTGTCAAAAGTGGGCAGCATGACAAACAGCTGCTGGGTCTGAGGTGGGGAGGGGGACGGGGGAGTGTTGTTTGTCAAACCTGCAGTAGAACACATTTGGGGGCTTGAGTCTTGCTGTAAACCAGGGCTTGTTGTTGTTGTATGTGCAGAAGGTCTTTTTGGGCACACACACATCCTCACAGAGGCTGATATAAGATGTCACAGTGTCAGTGAGTTCATCCAGGTTTGTATCTGCAGTCTCAAATACACTCCAGTCTGTGCAGTCAAAGCAGGCCTGTAGCTCTGACTTAGCCTCCTCAGTCCAGCTCTTCACTGTGTTGACCACAAGCTTTCTGCCTGTAGGTTGGAATACGATGGACCATACAGTGATCAGAGTCCGAGGGCTGCGCAGGGGACAGAGCGATAGGCATCTTTTATTGTTGTGTAGCAGTGGTCCAGTGTGACTTTGTCCCTGGTGGGACAGGTAACATGCTGTCTGTATTTGGGCAGTTCGTGGGTGAGATTTGCTCTGTTAAAGTCCCCTAGAACAATGAGTGGAGAGTCAGGATGTTCTAGCTCCAGACTAGTTATCTGTTCTGCTAGGAGTCATAGTGTGCTAGCGTTAGCCTGCGGTGTTATGTACACTCCCATTAGCATGAAACTGTTGAATTCACGGGGAGAGTAAAAGGGTTTGCAATTGATAAGAGTCTCTAGGTCTGTGGTACATGTCCTCTGCAGCACTGTGACATCTGTGCACCAAACTTCATTTATGTAGACGTTCCACCAAGTACTGGAAACATCGCTCCCTTTAAAGTAGCTCCAAGGTCAGTAAATCCAACCAGTGGTCGCTGCTTCTTCCCCCATACAACCACATAAAGTACAGTCCCAAAGTAGTGAAATTAATTCCAACAGATAGTGTAGCACCGACAATAATATCTTGGATCATTAATCCGCTCGTTAACCAGAAACACATCACAAGCGGCAGACATACTGGCCTCAAGCAGTCAAAACAAACAGGTACTGTGCTCCGGGGGAATCCAGCGTTGATGAGCTGATCACTAACTACCAGAACATACATACAGCTCATGCTTTGAGCTTTAAAGGTCACAGCTAAGATAATTCATCGTTGTAACATTGTAGATAAGTCAGAAAACAAGGAAAAACATGTCATGGACTCTTTAAATAAGTCTGTCTGGAAGTCTGTCTGAGGACAATTTGATGGTTTCAAATGATGGACATCTTTCGAAAGCAACCTTAATGAAATAGGTTCAAAGTGGTCAAAGTGTAATACCCCAGTTCTTTTATTGGACAGATCTGAGTAAGAAAGGAGTCCGTCTTTCTTGATTTTAGTGCTGGTTTATTTAAAAAAATATATATGAATAAAGATTACAGAACACAATCCGGGTTGTTCCTTCCTCCAGAAACACACACTCTCTGGCTGCTGGGGACAGGAGATCCCGGAAACACGGAGCCTAATACATTTTTGGGCTAACAACCCCTTACGCAAACAGATATAGAATCATCACGAGTTGGAGACAGTCCGACGTCTCCTTCTCTTATCTTATGCTCCACATGTGTCAAGCATTAATCAGAACAAATGAAGAACTCCATGTGCGTGTATGTTTTTACGTGGTGTGTAACAAACATTTATTCAGACATAAATCTAACACAAGATTAATACAAGAAAACAATTGACGTCAAGGTACACTTTACAGATTTAACGTTATCTTCTAACGTTGAAGCAAAGCACACTAGAGCAGACTTAAAATATTACTAACTGCATTAATAACACATTAAAACACATTAATGTCTATAATTATCTGACTGAATTATTAATTTCTAACAAAAGACAGAAGAAGATATAGAAACAGATGAATGGTCAAATGCATACTGCCCACCTAAAGGTGTAATTTTTGCTATGCACAAAAAAAAGAAATTTCTCACTAGTAGAGGATGAGGCACTATATTGCCAAAAGTATTCGTTCGTCTGCCTTCACATGCAAATGAAAATTGAGTAACAACTGATTCTTAATCCATAGGGTTTAATATGATGTTGGCCCACCCTTTGCAGCTATAACAGCTTCAGCTCTTCTGGGAAGGCTGTCCACAAGGTTTAGGAGTGTGTTAATGGGAATTTTTTATTCTTTTGATTCTTCTTCCAGAAGCACATTTGTGAGGTCAGACACTGATGTTGGACTAATTCATCCCAAAGGTGTTCTATCAGGTTGAGGTCAGGACTCTGTGCAGGCCAGTCAAGTTCTTCCACACCAAACTCACTCGTGCATGTCTTTATGTACCTTGATTTGTGCACTGGTGCGCAGTCATGTTGTAACAGGAACGGGCCATCCCCAAACTGTTCCCACAAAGTTGGGAGCATGAAATTGTCCAAAATGTCTTGGTATGCTGAGGCATTAAGAGTTCCTTTCACTCAAACTAAGGGGCCAAGACTAGCTCCTGAAAAACAACGCCACATCATAATCCCTCCCCCCTCCACCAAACTGTACACTTGGCACAATGCAGTCAGACAAATACCGTTTTCCTGGCAACTGCCAAACCCAGACGGAGAAGCGTGATTCGTCACTCCAGAGAACACGTCTCCACTGCTCTAGAGTCCAGTGGCGGTGTGCTTTACACCACTGCATCTGACGCTTTGCATTGCATTTGGTGATGTAAGGCTTGGATGCAGCTCCTCGACCATGGGACCCCATTCCATGAAGCTCTCTACACGCTTTTCTTGAGCTAATTTGAAGGCCACATGAAGTTTGGAGGTCTGTAGCTATTGACTCTGCAGAAAGTTGGCGACCCCTGTGCACTATGCATCTCAGCATCCGTTGACCCCGCTCTGTGATTTTACGTGGCGGAGTTGCTGTCATTCCCAATCGCTTCCACTTTAGTATAATACCACCAACAGTTGACTGTGGAATATTTAGTAGCGAGGAAATTTCACGACTGGACTTATTGCACAGGTGGAATCCTACCACGGTTCTATGCTGGAATTCACTGAGCTCCTGAGAGTGACCCATTCTTTCACAAATGTTTGTAGAAGCGGTGTGTATGCCTAGGTGCTTGATTATATACACCTGCAACCATGGAAGTGATTGGAACACCTGAATTCAATGATTTGGATGGGTGAGTGAATACTTTTGACAATATAGTGGGCATCAGGCGATACAGCAGTAGTAGGATTTATAATAGAATTTATAGTATTAAAGAGGACTCTACGGTTGTGACAGTTATTTACAATAAGGTCAGACAATACTGTGCTTTTGCATTTCTCACAGCAGTTTGATAGGTGGCCATACAGGATTTCACGTGGTCCAAAGACGCATGCAGATGGTCTTTTTTTCCATTACGTTCTGCACGTCTACAGTCCACTGTCAAGGATTGCGTTTCTTGAAGCAAAAGGAGCACACATATCCAGAATATCAGTACAGGTAGAGTTAAACTAAGCCAGAAAATAGTCCATGGATACTGGTAGACAAGAAAAAGTTTAATTTCTTCAAATGCAGAAGAAAAGAGGCCCTGCATTTGGGAAGTAATATTATGACACCTGTGTGTCAAAATAATTTTTCACATTTGTGCACACTGAAATGCTTGGATTGTAGAGCCCTGATATATGTTTGAGGTAACTTAGTGTTTTACAGGAGCAGGACACTGATGGGTTTATTTTCCAGCTGTGTAGCGTCCCACTCAGGACACATCTTGGCAGTATTCTTCAAAAAACAAATTTAAGGGAAATATTTTTATAGTGTGTGTGTGTGTGTAAAACTAACAAAAAAAGAATATCGTCCAGCAGAGATGGTTTTCTGTTGGGGAGCTGCAGTTTTTACTGCTACACTTTGTTCCTCCACTGAACCCAGTGATATAATCAAGGGAGATGAAATTTCCATTGGGCTCTCCTTTTGACTCATCCTCCCAGTCTTTACCCCCAGCAGGAGACACATTTTAATTTCTGCTTGATCTGAAAGCCAAATTGAGTGTCCCGCCAGCATCACTTGCTGTCGGCAAAGGCAAATAACATCTATCCATCTTCATCCGGAGGGAGTGAGGGGAACTGGGAAGAAGAGAGAGAAGCAGAGACATGATGATGAATGACTGTGTGAGCTCTGTGATGCTTAATTCAGGAGTACATTGTAGCCCAATTGGAGTTGATCCAAAGCGTGTGTGCCTGCATTATTTTCTGCTTCTCTACTGATTGTTCAGACTGACTTCATGTTTTTTTTTCTTATTATTTGTACATTACTTTAAATAGGATTTCCTTCCATAAGCTTTTTTTCCCTGTCTTCTCATCTTGCTTCCTGCCTATTTCCTCTCCCTACTTGCTCTCTCCTCTCCAGGTGTCCCTTCCCCTCTGAGCGTCAGGTCCGTCTGGAAGCAGTGCGGGAAGTCTTCCTGGCAGCCTACAGCTCCACCGTGGGCCTCAAGTCCTCTGCGCACAGCCCCTCTGGTGCCATCTCCGGTCTGCTGGAACAGTTCGCCCGTGGGGTCGGTCTCCGGGGCACCAACGCTATCGTCTGAACCCTCTCATTGTAACACCAGACCCTCTTTCTGCTTCCATCCTTCCACGGTTGATCGGACATGCCTGGACTCAGTACAATAAAGTGCCAAATATCTCTGTTCAATTCAGGGTTGAAGCATTACTTTTTTAAACTGAATTTTCTTTGATTTTATATGCCCTGGATTTTTTCTTCCCCCCCCCTCGTGCTGCTCCAGCTTTTCTTGGGACTTTTAATCCTCCATGTTGGGTTCACCTGTCACAGTCAGTGAGGGAAATGTTTTTAGCCACAGTATCAAAAAGAGAGAGTGAGAAGGCTTTTTAGCTGCTGAAATGGAAATGGCTTAGAATACGGGGTCTGTACTTGTTACATATAGAATATGAAGAATTCTTCCTTCCTATGTTCTTCCTTAATTTTTTCATAATTTTTTTTTTTTAAAGAAGAGTCCTTGCAGTGACCATCCCCTGTACAGGAAGCAATATGGTTTTAGTTCCCTTGTTTTATTTTGTGGATGTTAAGGGTCAGATAAACAGAATTGGCACAAAGCTTTGTTGCTTTCTAATTTTGCACAGTAGACTGAATTCAGATACTGTGTTCAGGTTTAGACTTTACAGCTTTGGGTGTGGGGGATCACTTAATTAGTAATATAATATTTAAACACCATATGTACACTCAGAGTTGTTGGTCACTGTAACCATTACTCCTAATCATTACTCGAGTCCACAAAGAGAGATTTTCATAGCATGACTACACTGTAGGAGATGGGGGATGAAATTCACAGTCTTTGTTCTGTGCAAAAATTCATTCTACAGTTCAGCTGAAGCTAATAAGAGGCTTCAGAACAACAGCAGAGACAAAGCATCACTTCCAGCAGCTTAAAGGCAGAGTAAAAATAGCACAGATGCTCTGCTGTACCTGTGGGATGATTCCTCCTGAGAAATGATTCTTTTCTAAACCAGATCCAACTTCAATACAATTACAAAGATTGAATGAACAGTCCAATCTCCCCTTAGAGATATTAAGAGGCAGGGGTAGAGCTGTGATCAGACAGAAGATTGGTGAGTTCTCTCTCTCTCTGTCTATAGATGATAAATATGATTGGCAAGGATGTGAAGTGACAGGATTAGCAGATGTGTGGTTATGTTGGTGATGGTGTGATTTGCAATAAAAGGTCACATTCAGAGCTCTTCAGAGTACATAACATTAAGAAAGAGTCAAAAACCACAGCCTGCTGCATGACTCATTTATGATGATCAAATTAGTGACCTGATTAGAAACTCTGGGCCAAGGTCCCCACTGGGGTAAAGGTTCCATAGGCTTGAAATAAACTAACTTGTGGAGCTTGTCATCTGGCCACTTCTGAAGGCTAAAGTGATTAGAGCTGTTCCCAATAGAATCATTTGAAGGTGGGATGAAAAGCATGTGGTCACAGATAGTTGTTGTGGAAGCTGTTCCTATTGTGTGTGCTTGTTTGCACACACAAAGTAACATGTAGTGTTAATGAAATATAAAAGCTTGACAGTGAGGTTGAAACTCAGCCCATTTTCTCATGTTTGGACACTTGGCCAACTACTGCATGAAGTGGGCGCGCCTGTCAGTTTCAGAAAGTTATTTAAAAAAAGTCTGTGGGAGGAGTGGGTTTCATACACTGTTCATTGATCAGACAAGTACTTAAAGCATACTGCATTCCTAAAGCCTGTGTGCTTCCATCATAGTATACAATCTAGCTTGTACAATATTTGATCCAGTCAGAACCTAAAGGCTTAAAGTGTTTTGGGGTGTTCAAGATGGCCACACTTCAAGGTTTGCTGTCATAGAAAGGGGCAAATTGCAGTCCTAATAATAACAGCGTGTGAATGCTGATCAGATCACTGAATATGATGTAACACATTTCAGACTCGGGATGTACCCCTTGGTCACAGATAGTCAGTGACCTGCAGCTCTTGAAACATTACATATGGCATTTGAAAGTAGTACTGATCATCAGACATATACAAGGAGGTGCCCCTCAATAGCCTCATAAGTTTTCATAAATCAAAGAGATGATGTGCCAAACATGTTCGAGCAATCTTTTCAGCTTGCCACTTTATTTTCTCCATATTCTCTAGGTGATCCCATATCAAGTTATTTCTTCTTGTTTATAGTTGTTCACACATGTTAGCACAAGATACACTCAGCATTGTAGTAGCAAATCTAGTAACTGAAGGCCTTTCCAATGTTCTTTCTTGTTGGACTCAATTGTAAGGTCCACTTGATTCCTGCCCAGCCAATGTCACGCCTGCATGTTGTTTCAGAAATGGGTGCCTTCTTCCAGATTGCACTCAGATGTTTCTAACTGGGCTACTAAGAAATGTTCTGGAGAGAATTCTGTTGAGATTGTTGGTGTTGCCAAGACGTTGTGACAGCTGCTGTACCTCAGGACCTTTTTTGTTGTGCCTTTGTTATCGTCAGTAACACTGGATCAAATCTCTACTTCATCTGGTCCAGTTTCAAGAGCATTTTCTGTTAAACGTTTTAGCAACTTGGAGGGTTTGCAGCTTATTTTTAATGAATGTTTTGCCTGTGGAGCATTAGCAATGTTAGCTTTCCAAGATTGCTTTTTGGGTTTTTAATCACACTCTTGATTAGAAAATAAGAAAAGTCTCTGTAGTTGTACAGTATCATAAAGCTCTTGAGTCTTACACACACTCTTGATAAGGTTGATGAGGTGGGATTTCAGTCAGGGAATGAGACGCAGAGTTTTTCATCTCTGCTTTTGAAAACGACTGCATCCGAAGATTATTTGATCGAGTTAAGGTATACTGTAATTCTAGTAGAAATTTTAGGAAATGAATGAGTAAGATAAGAAGATTGACTCTAATATCATGTCTGTGTGTTAGGGACAGGGCTACAGTCAGGACGTGTTTAGCACAGATTAGCATAATGGTGGAAAGAGCTAGCTTGGCTCCTTTTAAAGTTCAAAAATATGCTCTCATTAATTAACATGTATTTAATTTGTTGAAAGCAGAAATATAAAACCAACAATTTTAAGGTGAAGTTACTTGGTGTAACTGTTTCTTAACAAAGAGAGGTTTGTCTGTTAGCCCAGTAGTTCTGAGGCAGCACCGCTGTTTTTTAAAATTTCTGTTTAAGTATGGGCTAAACGAATTTCATGTTAGGTTATTTACTTAAATAACCTCTTTGGCAACAGCAATAGAAATAAAAGTACTAGAATTAAGTTAACAAAGCGAATGTTTCCAAATGTCCAGTGATGTTTGTCAGCTGAGTTGGTGTTAAAGGAGTTACGTTAGTAGGTGTAACTTCTGACAGAGCCAGGCTAGTGGTTTCCCCTTGCCTCCAGTCTCTACTAACTCCTGGCCCCTACTCTGTTCTTAACGTACATACTGTAGCAGATGCTACGCAGACATAAGAGTCAACTTTAGCATCTCACTCTTAGAAACTAAAAGCATAATTCCAAAAATGTTCCTTTCTTTAACTGGTAGATTTTGGTCTTCTGCTGGTCTCTAAGCCAACTTTTACTTTCTTAATGCCAGAAAACATGTTTGTTAGAGCTGTTTTAAGCCATGTGAGTTTTCCTCTCATTGCAGTTAAAAGCAATGTATATTATTTATGACTGCATGTATCAGTTCTTTGTACAGACTGTCAACTAGGACAGTAGAGCGATCTTTTCCAGCTTTAAGTGAGACTAGTCATGCCTTCCGGCTTTCTTGCAGAGTTCTTAATCAGTCAGGGTTTCTTATGCTTTTTAAAATCTTTTCCACTATCTGTCTGCAGCGGGGAAGCGGCCAATCACAAGACACACATATACATTGTCATTTTGCAATGGCTGAAAATGGTTATTGTAAGAAACAGATCTAATCCTGAATCACTTAAAATAGTCCCCAAATGATTTTCTCACTTTGTCACTTTTTTTTACTCACTGGGTTTGCATCACATGCTCCAAATTTATCTTGGTTGTGAAATACAACGGCTTTGTTTGTTTTACACAGTACTTTTTATTCCAGATGTGCTGCATTGCACCCATCTTGATGTTCTCTGTGTAAAGAGCTATGTACTGTTGATGTATTTGAGGTCATTTTTTTGCAGGGGGGAGATAAATTGCTGTTAATTGTTGGCAGATGACGGGCTACAATGAAAGGTGAACTGAGCAACAGGTGACAATTGTCAATAAAGAAAAATTTTGTGACTTTTTTCTTTGTCATTCAAATGAATTTGTTTTAGCACTAAGTGTCAGTAGCTTTATGCTTTTGGTTTATACATTATCTTCCTTGGTGAGATGTATTAATGATAACAGATGATTTTCTATTTATTGTTTATATTTACAAATCTCGTGGAGAGACCAAAACAATGAATTTGCTGCACGAACTGCAATGTATCTAGAACCTGGCTTAGCTTTTGTCTGTGCTGTAGAGCTCCATTACTGTCCAAAAACTGTTATTTAAAAACATAGTGAGTTGCACTGCTGCACTGACTAACATGTTTATTCCTCACAAAAAATGTGAGGCCTGTCTTCTGTCAAAAAATAAAGACTCCAAAGGCTGAAAACAACCTTCACTTTTTAGTTTATGAAGTAAGAAAAAGTCAGCTGTGCATGTGTGTGATGTCTGCTCAGTTTACACTGCTGCACTAGCTTCTCATGTGACATATAACCAGTTTGCTATGATAAAGTATCTATGCTACTGTATGTGATCACAAAAGTGAGTGCGGTCAATCACTCAAGGTACAGGGAGAGAGAAAGAACAAACTACAGAAGAGAGGAGACACAAAATTAATGACATACAATTGTGGCACATAAAAATATACAGTAATGGAGAGAAGAGAAACTCAGAGCATCATGGGGTCCCCCAGCAGCCTAGTCCTATAGCAGCATAACTAAGGGAAGGCTCAGGGTCACCTGATCCAACCCTAACTATAAGCTTTATCAAAAAGGAAAGTCTACTCTTAAAGGAAGGGAGGGTGTCCTGAACTGAGACTGAGAGCTGGTTCCATAGTGGCAGGAAAACGGAAAAAGAGGTGCGAGACTGAAAATAATATTTTTTTTAAAGAAGATTCATAATATTATGAAGTGTATGTAAACGGGTTAAGCATTGTAACATACATTTAGGAGACGCTTTCACCTTCCTCTACCGCAGGGGTGTCAAACTCAATGACACAGGGGGCCACAACTCAAAGCACACTTTTGGTCGCGGGCCAAACAGGAAAAACATTTATTGAAAAGACTAAAACTAAACATTTTTTTGAACATAAATATGAATCGAAATAGACAGGATACAATATTATTCCAAATTAAATAAACTTGAACTTGAAATCAGCGACTGTATTTCTGCTAAGGCTTACATTTACAAACACCTGCTTTTTGTCTGGGCACAAGACGTCTCACACTTTCATCATGCAGCTCTTCAGAAACTCTCCCTCGATAAATGGCCGGGCTGATTTTCTCCTCTGCCCCAATAAAACTTGCCTTCACAACAGCCTCACTGTGTGATTTGGCTTTGGTGAAAACGTCTGCTGTGATGTCAGATTCCTCTTCAACTCCTCTACCTTCTATAGCTTCTGCTCTGCATTGACGTTTTTCAGCTCGTCCTGATGTTTTGTCTCATAGTGCCTCTTGGGTTATATTCCTTAATTACAGCCACATTAGCACCACAAATAAGACAAACAGGTTTGTGTCAGTGAACATATTGTAATGGTTCTGATGTCTAGCATCTAGTTATATGGTTATACTCAGCCTCCCACCGGTTTTGAAAGGCTCTGTTTTCAGAATCAACTTTTCTCTTGGACATTGTTAGGGGCTTGCTTTGACTTGAAATTAGGGTTGTATACATCAACAGATGCGTGATTGATCTGAGTAACTGACGCGAGAATAGTGTTGCCAACTCCTTAGTAAGGAAAGTAGCTATTGGCTGTCCTAAAAGTCGCTCGAAGTCGCTAAATGACGTCATCGCCTAATTTCCATAAGGTTCTATTTGCATGTAATTGTAATAGACGCTGTAGGAGAGATGAATAACGTAATGGGAGAGACAAAAAGTGAGTAAAAACACCCTAAATATGTTTAGTACTACAAATGAACTTTCTTCTGTTGATTCTTGGTTTGCTTGTTTTATATTTTTCCATTTACATAGGCCATCACTTCTCAAAATGACTTCATGACTTTAATACTTTGTCTAGAGCTGCATTACATAAATCAATTTTGTCCTGTATTGGCAAGTGTTAGAATATCAAATTTAATCAATTCACCCTCTTTTATCCGGGCTCAGCGGCGGCTTTACGCATGCGCGATTCATTATCAGTATCTCCGCTCTGACTGCAGCTGGAACTGCTGCGCGAGGCCACTGTGAGAGGTTTGGGATGGGGAGGGGCTCACGACAGCACCCACTGCTCGTTGAGGACAGTAAATGTAGAGTGATAGGTGCTTTCACCTGAGTCTCCAAAACACCAGAAAAAGTCGCTAGATTTGTCGGTAGTCGCTTTTGACAAAAAAAATCGCCAAGAGAATTTGGAAAGTCGCCAAGTTGGCAACACTGGATTACAGGTAGCCTATGTTCGGTAAGGCAGCTGTCGCGCTGCATTATGGGATTTGTAGTTTGTGTATTATTGCCGCTTCATATCGCCGGGCCATTTAAAAAAAGATATATAAAATGATATCGCGGGCCGGGTGTAATTGTACGCCGGGCAGGATGTGGCCCGCGGGCCTTGAGTTTGACACATGTGCACTAGATACTCCTATCCCACACCAGACCTTCTCTCTCACTTCTTTGATTCCCGAATAACTTATGGTGGTCTCTGCCTCCACCTGGCGATGATTGGAGAGAAATATGAAGAAGATGAGCTTATGCTTGCGCCCGCGTCTGTTCTCCGGTCTCTCTCTATCGCTCCCTCTCTC